GGCAGCCTTCGTGGGCTCACCAGCTCCCTCATCCACGCCAGGGCAGCGCTGATAACCTCATGTGCATCACTGACCTCCCCCAGGACAGCTTCGTTGCTGCGGGTCTGTCAGCTCATGCGTCACCCAGATTGTGCACTGGGACCAGCAGGGTCCAAATGTGTCTTACTGGTGTGGGGAGAGGCAGCGACTCCCCTGAAAAAGCAGCTGTCTCCCAGGAGGCTCCTGCCAGCCATTCCCCAGGAGAGCAGTCCTGGCCTGGCTCCAGTATCAAGCCTCTTCCCCTCCCGTGGGCACAAGTGCTGCTGCAGGCATGGACGTGGCTCCAGTGACCCTGGAGTCCTGCAGCACCCAGGGCCAGGGACCAGAGCGTTTTCCAGTGAGCTCCACCACTGCAACCCAGACCCAGCACAGCCCCACAGGATCCCCACTGTCGCTCTGTGCCGAGGTCCCAGTGTTGACGCTGCAACGTCCAGCGTGGGATCTGCCTGCAGGATCCATGTCCTGCCTTCTGGGGCGAGGATGGAAGCAGAGAATGCCTGTCGTGACTGAGACCTGAGGCGTACCTGTCTGGGGCTTCGTTTCCTCTCCTTGGTTCCTGTAGTGTCTCTCTGCCTTCCGCCAAACCATCTGGTCCTCATGGGCACTAGGGATGCCTTCCACCGGGCCAAGCTGTGGTGGTGGTTCCTGCAGTCTGCTTGGGCAGCAGCAGAATCCAAGGGGCAGAGCATGTTCATCAGCTGCTTGGAGGCAGGGTTTGTAGACCCAGAAGTCTGACCTACTTCTTCCCCTGGGAGAGCTCTAGCCCCAGGCACAGCTTTGCTGCAGAGGGACTGATGGCTGCAGCCCTCCCTGCCACCTCACAACCACCCTTGAGCCAAGCACTGGTGGCATCCTGAGGACTTGGGGTTGAGCCTCTTTTGACCCCAATGGCATTTCCCTGGTCTTTCCCTGGTCTCCTCCTGGTCCCAGTGCATCCCAGCCCCGCGCTACGGCCCAGCCGAGTCCTGAGCCCCGCTTAGCTTGGAGCTCAAAACACATCCAAAGGCCATAAGGATAAAGCAAGTATTTTCTGGAGATCACAAGGTAGATTCAACCTCTGCCCCATCAGAAATGCATAGCGGGAGTTACGCCTCTGCCACACCTCTGCTTTCGAAGGCGAGGGGCTGCGGCGATGCATGGGGTGTGCGGAGCTGCAGGCGTGGGGAGCCAGGCTGCAAATTTGCACTCGCATGGGTGCTCCCATCAGGGCCGTGCTGTCCGTGCCTACAGGGGCAAGAAGGAGTTAAGTCTGTAGGGTCTAGCAGAGTGAAGGCTTCGTCCTTTCAGCACTTCCATAAAAAACCCTGCCTGTGGATTGGGGAAGCCACCGGCCCCACAGCCAGCAAGACGTGCAGCGTGGGGCGGCCGTGGCGCGGAGCATTCAGAACATTCCTGTCCCTCGTGCCTCTCAGCCGGCGCTGCCAGCAGAGCCTGCCACGCCGCAATGTTCACCGTCAATGTCTCGTCGTCCATGTCCTACAGGGGACAGCCATCTCTGTCCTCTCCCAGGCAGCAGGGAGGCCACAGGAGCAATTGTGACCAGAGGTAGGGGACCGGGATGCTGCTGTGCCTGGTGGGAGGCGCGGGGACGGGGAGAGGAGCGGCTGGGAGAGCTGGGAGGGTTGGGCTGTGCTGAGCCTGGGGTCTGGGCAGGGCAGGAGCCCACCAAGACCTTGCAAGGTGTCCTGTGCTTCTGCCTGTCCATCTTCTGCTCCTATTGCTCCTTACAAGGTGGTTGCCTGGAGCTAAGTGACATTCAGCCCATCGGGGCTTCCCCAAGGGGAAGGATGGTGGGAGACTTTTCCTAGGGTGCTGGCACATGTCCCTGGAGGTAAATGCTGCCTCCTGCACCTGTGAAAGCACCAAAACCTTCCCCCATTTGCCCAGGTGACAGCAGTGATGCTCCAGCCTGGTTCAGGGGGCTGAAAAAGATGTTTTCTTACAAGAGTGGCTTGGGATCATGCTGCCAGGATGCAGGGCTTGGTATTGCCTACATAGCCAAACTTTATTCCCCTGGGTCCCCCGCTGCTCATGCTTCCTGAGCCCTGCTCCTTCCCCAGCTGTCGCTCAGCCGGCCCCCCTGGTGTCCCACGGTCCCCTTAGCACAAGTCTGCTGGCATTTTAGGATCCGGTGCCATGCCTGGCGCTCCAGCATCTCTCCTACCACACCCCAGAGATCTCCCTCTGCTGCCTGGCAGGCACGGGGTTGATCAGGGTGCCGAGCTCAGTGGCAGGTCCTCGGTCCCTGCGGGACTCACCGGAGCGCCCAGGATCCAGCTGGTCGCCGCAGCGGATGCGCTGATGGTCTCCAGTGTCCTGTTGGCTGACAATAACTGCTCGCCTTGGGTTACGGGCCGGCGCCGCAGCGGATGCGCTGATGGTCTCCAGTGTCCTGTTGGCTGACAGTCACTGCCAGCCTGTGCTAACGGTCTGGCGTCATTTATTCCTTCTTATTTTAATCCAGCCCTTGAGCTGGGAGCTGCCATTGTTCCCAGCAGACTTGGGTTTTTTTCCCAGACAAAAAGTTTGCGATGCCAGGCAGTCTGTTCTGCCTTTGCCTGCCTATTGTTTGAGCTGTGAAAGGATTAAGTCATCATCGAAAAATTTAGGACTTGTGTTGAGCCGCGCAGGGCCTGCGCTGTGGGGGTGTGCAGGGCTGCAGGCACGCTTGCCGTGCTGCACCGGTGCGGAGGGGCTTGATCCCTCTGTCCCGGCACGGCAACGCTGTCCTCGATGCCCAGGCTCGCGGCACCCGGTGTCACCTCGCAGTCCGATGTTTCTGCATGTGATTTTCTGGCAGACGCTCTGTGTCCGTCCGTGCTCTGTCTTGTGTCGCTCGTGCAACTGCCCGCACCTCTCCCAGTTTACCAGCCTCCTCCGTGCCGCGGCTGCCATGCCAGGTCACGCTCAGGGGGACTCCAGCCCCGCCAGCGTGCCGGGAAGCCCAGGCACAGCCGACCCTGTCCCCAGCTTCGCTGCTCCTCACCCTAATGTCACCCTGTCCCGTGTCTGTCCTTCCAGGGAGCCCCGGAAAATCATCCTGCACAAAGGCTCCACCGGCCTGGGCTTCAACATCGTCGGCGGGGAAGATGGCGAGGGGATCTTTGTGTCCTTCATCCTGGCCGGAGGCCCTGCCGACCTCAGCGGGGAGCT